ACTTTATTAGCACCCCTGCTACCATTTCAGACAGTGCACCAAATTACCGTCAACTGCCTTTAACAAAAGCTTTCAAGAGAACCCATACCTTCTCTTGTTTCAACTAATCATCTCGAAAAGTTCCATTTTCAACATTTCCCTGAAGGATAGCCCGTATTACTAGTATCATGCCAAATGGGTGCACGCTCGCTTAAGTAATTCCGAAAGTGCTGTCTAATTACTTCCGTAATTGCTCATTTTAATTGGTACGTGGACGTTAAACGTTTCGCACGAGAGATCATTATCCAGAGCAATGCGACGCAGCGGGCTTTCGCTGAATTTTGCCACGGCCGGGGTCAAGTAGTAGAAAGACCTCGAGTTCCCACCAGCGCTCACCAACTGTCGCGTGTCTGTATAAGTATTACTCGCCGTGAAGAGGGTCACGGACAGTAGTTGAGCAAAAGGAGATAGAGAGCCTTACAAACCATGATAGTTCCTCATAGTAGAGGTGCGGTGTTTCTGGGAACTGGAAGCCTGAAGAAAACACCCACCAGGGCTCGCCATGATGGCCGAAAGTATCCTCCCCTTTCACGTCACCGAACTCCACCGACACAAACTCCCTCGGACTTCCCACTCCCAGGATTTCCAGCGGAGAAAAGACAGCTGAAATTTAGCATTTCAGACCAGCAGACACAAGGAAAGCCCTTTTCCAGCTTCCGTTCAGGAGTTTGTAATGCACGACGTGACCTTTTCTTGCTAAAATTTGTATAGGCTGGGTATAAGCTCAGCTTTCTCTACATTTTATATAAAAGTCAAACGCTCGGCTCCTTCTGGAGATTGTCACAAGTGACACCACAAGATCAGTAGCGCAAGCCATTTGTCAACTTTCAAATTTTGGATTTTTTCAGACCGACTTTGGCGGATCTCCTGTAATCAACAATGATCACTGGCTGTATTGGGGCGATCGCCAAATTAGCCTCGATGATTCCTCAAGTCCGGTGACGATACGGGTAATCGAGCAGACAGGTAAATCGTTATGCCATATTCCCGTATTCTCTGAAGTAGTTGAAACGCGAAAGCATTGCTGCGATCATATTAGGTTGTCCGGAAAGTTCTTAGCGTTTTGGGTGTTTAACTTTAAACGATCATAACTTTCTTAACACTCATCGGATTTAATCCAAATAAGCACCATTCGAATCAGCACACTTTTGCCAATGTGGCAGCAGTCGAGAAATCCCATCAAAGAAAAAACTGGGTGGTCGAGAATCCACGAAATCTGCGAAGGTCTTTTTTGCCTGGTCCTTAATTGATGAAGTATTTTCCAGCAAGGGAGTTCTGAAAATGTTAAAAGGTGATAGTCGGTTGGCGAAAGGTCTGAAGAATATGGCGGTTGAGGTAGAACTTCAACCCCCAATTCGTTCAATTTATGGATAGTGATTTGTGAAACGTGTGGGCGGGCGTTGTCATGCAAAAGAATCGGACCCTTTCTTTTGATAAGTGTTGGCTGCAGCTGACAATATTTTCGGTACATTTGGTCGGTTTGTTCACAGTAGGGTTCTGCTGTGATGGTTTGGCCTGGTGATGAAAAGTTATAGTGGATTACAACAGCCGATGACCACCAAACCTGACCAGAATTTTTTTTTCGCGAGGGTTCGGCTTTGAAAATTACCTCGGTGGTTCCTCCAAATCCAACCACTGTCCGGAACGTCTCCTGTTATCATACATGATCCATTTTTCATCACAGGTGACAAATCCGTTCAAAAACGGGTCAATTCTTTTGCGCAAAAGCAGTGAAGAAGGAACCTCGAGACGTGCCGATTCCTGCCGGTCACTCCGATTGTGGGGCACCCAATTGTCGAGTTTTTTCACCTTCCCAATGCGTTCCAGACCATCTGCAACAGTGGATTTGCCAAGGCCTAGCTCTTCTGCTATCTCTCGAACTGTTTGGGATGGGTCAGCCTTCAAAATCCCCCTAAAATCCTCGTCAGATATTGCTTTAGGTCGACCGCTATGAGGTTCACCTTCAAGGCTGAAATCTCCAGAACGAAATTTGTTGAGCCATTGCCGCACAGTGCTTTCTCTAGCACTATTGGGCCCCCACACCTGGTTAATTTGTTGAGCTGTTTCGATTGCGGATTGCCCCAATTTATAGTCGAAGAAAAAATCGTCCGAAGTGCTCTTTTCACATGCTTGAAAAAATCTTGAAAAAAGAGGGTTTATCAAGCAATGGTGAAACGGCAATTATACCATCAGATAGCGCAAGAAATTCTCTACAGGATGTGCTACTGAGAAGCAAGGCAGAATGAGTTTTTAATCAGCAGTGAATGTACAAAGATTAGGTGCACAAAACGCTAAGAACTTTCCGGACAACCTAATACTTTGCTACTATAATCGACTGGGATTTGGGGATGGCACAACTGGACTGCCCGCGCTCCACCTCCAGTCGTTGGGCCACTGCAACCGCGGCTCCCATCACATTCAGAAATGAGGTTTTGAAGTTGTTCGTGTGGGGCGGGTTGATGGCGATTACGCTATCCTCCGTCGTTCGAGTCGCAATGTATGAACGCCGCAACGCTATTACCAGTATTCAGAAATACTAGAGAGATATCCTTACGGTGTCACTACTCTGGATAGAGGGGCAGGATCTGTTGAGCTTATTTGGGAGTATTGAAGAAAGGCTTTTTTTCAGAATTTCTCGACGATGAGACGTATGAGCCAATCGCGGGACCTTCCACCTCGGAACCGTATGCGAAACGGTGCTGCCAGATCCGCCTTGAAAGTCGAGATAAGCTCATGTACATTCAAAAGGTGAGGAATAATACGAATCGGGTTTTTGTCCGGAACCGTTCGGCTCCTTAATTCCGCAAATGAGTAAGCCGCTACAAGACCAGAGAAGATTTGGGCAAAGATAGCGCAGATGTTTGTTGTACTCACCACTCTTCAAGCTATCCACAGGACAGGATCGCTAGACTCATTTCGAATACGGTACACCTTGTCGTTGGGGGGCATTTCCGCTAAAAACCCCCACCCGCCAAACCCCCCCCCCTTCCATTTTTTCATACGCCTCTCCACAACCGCCACTGGGAAACAGCAGATTTGCGGCGCCTTAGGAGGGGAGATAGTACTCGTGAAATTAGAAAAGAAATCAGCAGTCAGAAAAAACTCCTCACAGCAAAATGAATTCTTCTCTGAACTGGCTAAAGACGACCCTGTTGGTAGTCGTACGAACCCTGAGACGTGGGGCGTTGGGTTATACGACCCCAGCGTGCGGCGTGCACTGATTTCGAAGGAATCAGCTTTGACTTGTGCTTCGGCTAGCCCGCAATCCGTTCCAGGTTGGCTGAACGGTTCCCCGCCTCTATGATATTTAGTGAATGTCGATTTGGTGAAGATTTCCAAAAAATCGTATGAATCCCATTTTCCAGGAGCAACTCGGCCTTGAGGCAGAATTCGATCAGCATGTTTTGCCAGACGGGAAATGTTTTGTCGACGCGTTCATCTACGTTTTCGACGCAAGTCGAACCGATGGGCGAACATTCGAAAGGTCTCGATTTTTTAAGCACATTGCTTCGTTTCTCAACAGAAATTTCTCATTTTTTTTGCTACTGGAACCAGCAGAAGGTGTGGTGCCAGTATCCAGCGACATCGCTTCGAAGTCTCACCAATAACACATTGGAATCTTTCTCCCATGCACATCTGCTTTCAGCTAACCAGGCTACTTTCTCCTTGAGAGATTCTGTGAGGGGTTGAGCAGGGTCGCTGCGCTTTGTCTGACTGTTCCAACTCACGTGGCATCCTTCACAGAAAGTCTTCCCATTAACCGGGATTGTGGAGAAGCACGATAGTTGTCACTTAGGTGCAGCCTAGAAAGATTGCCAACAGGTGGTTGCGCTCGGCCGCATCTTCAGGGGTTGAGTAAACGGCCGTCATTCTGTGCTGGCCGCCAACCTACGTTGCATAATTCAAATTAAATAACTCCAGCTCGCAAGCGCTGTTACAAACGGGACACTCTGCCGTGGCTAGCGACATCCTTCCTGAACACAATGCACATGTTAGCTCCCTTGACTAGGGCGGAGTAGCCCTACAGGACCCCATAATATAGGATACGTCGAGCAGTAGTTTGACTTTTGGGGGAGTTTTATGCTTTGAAAGCCTTACACAAACTCATAGTACCCCCGCTTGCAAAAGCCTCAGAGAACGCTCTACACTAATCACGGGTAAAAACGTTCAAAATATTTTTGATCTTTCTCTAAAACAATTCAATCGAAGTGTCGCAGAACCTTGTTTCCAACCCCATATTTTGTTTCTTGCCGAATTTTCTTTCGACTGTCGACAAGCCTCTTACCGTGTATTGTTTTAGCCAATGCTCGTCAGCGTCGTCAATACTGTCTAATGTGATCAAGACGAAGAAACCTGTTGTGATTGCGCTAAGTCAGATGGATAGCGTGGACGACGAAGCGCGAAGGGCTCTTCATACACTACTCAGTCGTAAAGATCTCAAAAGCACCCATATCACAGTGGTAATTCTATGAATTTTCTTATTTTATTCTGCACTCCCAATATCCTTTTATTTTGAGCCTGGTCTTATGAAAGAAGGACGTCTGTGGAGTAAAGTTAGTCGCTGTTAGGTTTGGTAGGGACATTTTGCATCTAATCTACTTTCCTTTGCTAATTCCTGCTGGATACGTCACACCTTCATGAAGCTTTTAGGCTCTTGTCAAGTGCAAACGAAGCTCCTGTTACTGCATAGCTTTGCAGGAGTTCACAGGTATCCACACGAGGCATCTGCAGTGAGGGAACCAGCAAATGCACCCCCCCCCCCAGCCGAACAGCCCCTAACGTTGCTCTGTCGAGCTCAAATGTGGACCATTTCTGTTATTTTCTAGATCAGAATCTACATTAAGCAGGGAGTATTGAAATCCTTACTCAGTTCAAATAGGCCTTCACGGGAACAGTCTGTGCTGACTGGGATGAGCGGGGTCGGACCTAGCATTGTTTCTATTTTGCGCACTTCCTCTTCACCATTTTGTGAAGCAGAAGGTGCTCAGTGAAAAGATACAATATTAGGCCCGATTCTGCCCACACGGTCAGTATGGTCGGAGTCAGGCCCAATACGATCTGACATGTTGACTGTGCTTTACAACTTCCCTTTTATAGGACTTCCCCTTTTATCTCGATCTGACCGTACTGGAGTTCTCTTCTATTATAACATGAGCGGGCGCAGTTGGAGGCGCACGAGCGAGCGCAGCCAAGTGGAGGGCGGCGACTTTTCGGTCCCCATCGACCAACAGGTTCGAACGATGCTTCTTGTGGGAACTTGTTAATTCTTGTGAGGCCATGCAACAGCAGGAGCTTCGTTCATGCTGGACTAGAGTCTACAGGTCACACTAAAGTAAGAAGTGTAAGTTATCAGTAACAAGTAAAAGAAATGTGCGAAAGTGCGAGATACCGCGCTACTCAAGCCGAACGATAGCGGTTTCACGTAGCGTTCATACTGGGTATGTTTGAAACGCCCTTCTTATACGATTCTTCGCCCGGAGGATTTTTGTGAAGAAGGGGTCCAAGAAAGTTCCTCTGTGCACTCCAAAAAATCGGTCAGAACTTTGTCTATTTCGCAGTTTGCAAGGGCTTCCAGAGGCAGAGTTTCGGAGCAGTGACAGGTTTATAGTGGCTGACTGACAGGGTTCGCTTGGTTAAAACTTTAGTGAATGAAGAATCTTTCAGGTAGAGTGTCAGGCGCACATGAACCGTGAATGTATGAGCGAGTTGTTTGTGGTGACAGCTTGTGCAGTATTACGTAGTAAGTTGAGGCTGAAAATCCAATCATTTTCTGATGCGCTGAAAATCGTCACCGAACGGAATAGAGATGTTAGGTGGGCTCACAGAATTTTCTAAACGATTTCGCTATTTCTTGTTGTCGATCACTCTTCCATCACTTGTGTCCTTTTCGGGTCTCCATTTTTTATTCACATGTACTAATTTTGTTCGTATATTTGTCATCTGAGTCCTAATTTCTCTCACCAAGTGCTCATTAATCAATTGCCGATAGTCGCGTAGCCGAAGCGGTGCCCTCAGCAATAGCCAAAGGGGAGTTCGCTGTGTGTTTGGAGTGTCGAGCGACGAGGGGCTTTGCATGAATAATTAGCCACTTCGACGAGGTAATTACGCCAAAGGTCCAAGACCGAAAGAGCCCGAGAAGGATCGCGTTGCTGTTAGAGCGCTGGGCAAAACCCGTTTTGAATAACTAAATGAGCACGACGCTGACCAGTAATGGGTGTGAGCTGCGGCAGCCCTCAATGTGATCGAATTTCGTCCGTAGCGTCTTGGTCACTTCACGAAATGGGAGCGTCGGCATCAGGGCACATCGTTGTTGGGGATTCACCGATAAGGGGATCGTATTTGGTTGCTGGGAAAGGGAAGTCGCAGATGGGCTGAGAAGAATTTATTTTGATAGTTGACTGTTTCACGGACGTTGAAAAGAGTAAGGGTCATATTTTAGTCGTTTGTTTGGAGATGGAATCGTATTTCGCCTCCTGACCTTCTGAAGTAGGTTGCCTGGCTTTTCGTGATTTATCTGTTTCATGAGTACCATATACCCCCCGCCCGCTCCCCCTCGTTCGGCAGCTCGATGAGGAGGGAGCCAGGCGGGGGGGGGGATTGTACCAAACCTTCTGAAACAAGGGGCTAATACGACTCAATACAATTGTGGGCCCTGGCCAGCATTGAAGGCACAGTCTGTGATTGGTGCAGCAGTCTGATTCGGCAGTTATGTGGGTATCTGGGTTTGCCACCAATGAATAGTGCCATTTCTCGGCGGAGAATAAATGGTTCACAGGTCCTCAGCTCTTCATTCTTATTTTTGCCCCCTGCCTTATTCGGAGAGAAATATGAAAAAAGAGTGAGGTACGAAAAAAGTAGTGCCAGTCGTGCATTTGGTGCTATATTTGCGAGAAAGGCTGGAGAACAATACTTTTACAAAGGTTGTATCGTAAAAGGCGCATTCAGAAAAGGGATAGAAGACGAGGTATGCGGCGTTGGTGAGTTTATTGGATGCGCCATGCTTTCTATTTCCATTAGAACAAGAGCGGCTTTCCGAAAGTGATTTGGCATATGCGTTGGCTCGCAAAGCCTAGTGGTTGTAGAAACCGATGTTTTTCCCTCCCAGGTCCTCGTAAATAATCGCTGACGCGAAAAAGGGGAGATATTCTTTGTTGTTGTGCGAAGGGTCGTAATTACACTTAAATGAAAACTTTCCTTTTTGTGGATTTTTCCTCCATTCACACGCAGTTTATGCTCCCATAGCTGACGGGGTGAGAAGTTTCCAAGCTTGGTACGAGGGTATATAGGCTGAGGGAGGGGTATTGCGCAGAGGAAAAGTTTGGAGGGTCTTCCCAACGCCACCGTTCCACTTACCCTTTGTTGTACCCTATTCCCAGATGAACCTGATGCTGATTAGCAGACAACAGATGAAGACCTGGCTGACCTTAGAGCAGTTGTTCCAGGGTTTTATCAGCAGACTGTGGTGGGTCCACTTGCGGTCGCATGCTGCCGCTGTGGGCTTGGCCAATAGCGTGTTTCAAGGCTAGTATGGTTGTGTGGAAGCCGAACGTAATGCGTCCAACAACTAAAAAATTGCACTTGATTTTTTTTTCCCTTCCCCATTCGTTGTCATTGTTCAGCCAGGAACGTCTTTAGCGACATTGTTCGCGCTTGAGGGGCATTTCCACATTGCTGGTCCATGTTGGACTAAGAGCATTCACTTTGGCCAAACTGTAAATCCTAGCGAAACTGCGAAATTTATATCGAATGAGCCACTTCCGCATATCACAGAATACAGGTTTTCTGGCCTTTGTGGATGCTTAGCCTACCATTTGCTGCCCCACCAAGCCGAATTAGCGCAGTCTGTAGCTTACATTTATGAGTACAATGCGTTATTAAAATGGTTCTCGCTTTTAGGATAGCATTTACACGGTTATTACATGCGTTGTTGCCCGTCGAAAGCTGGCCATCTGTACGATTGTCGTGGTCAAGGTAAGTTTGAAAACCCGGGGCCAAGTCAGTGGGTGGAGGGACATTCAGTGGACTCCTTAGGCAAAACCTGGACTACCCCTGGATAATGGACCGTATTGCGAAACTGTTTGTACGAAGAAATAGGTTCACTCACCGCAAAGCTCTTTTACTGCTGGGCTTGAAGAAAAGTCCTTATCTCCATTACGGGCTACGCACAAAGAGTCCTTTGAATGCCCCATCCCCTGGCCATGGGCCATTTTTTATTCATAAGATTTTTCTCTTTGACTCGATTTCTTCCGACATTTCAGACTCGTCAGCGAGCGTTGTCTGGAACGACAACCAGATTACTGTAATTTTGTACGCGTCTATGGTGAGGCTACTGCTAAGAAAGTCTACGATGCCCATGTGAACGAGGCTAGAGAGCACTGGATGGCAGCTAGGTATGAAGAATCTCGTAATCTAGACTTCCCCAGGTACATCAGAATGTTCAGACTCCGCGCCCTGCTGCCGAATTTGCCACGGGTATTTGCTACACTTCTTGACAAGTCTGATGTTGCTCACTTGAGTTGGCCAGCTGCCAATCATCTGATCCACTCTCACCCCTTGTTCGACGAGTTCTTTCAGCCACTTGGACAACTTGGTAAGTGTTGACAGTTTGTCCTTAGAAAAAAGGAAAGGACCTGCACTCATTTTCAGGCAAGCAGCTCGATCCACTTCCATCGGATTATGAAAGACGAATGTCGCAGTCCACATTGATTGACCATCGAATACCAGCTGAGATTCTTCTCCGCCATGAAGCACGACTGGCATTCGAGGGCTACAAGGTATGTTCAGTGTCCTCATTCCACTCAAAACGTTGATACAGATAGTGAAACTCCATCAAACATTGGCGCTAAGCCTGCTGATTCAGGGCGCTAGAATCTCCGGGCGCCTTGGCGCAGCTGATAAACTAACGACTGAAACTGAAAAACCTTAGTGTTACGCCGCGCTGCTGCCACTAAATTCCATTCACTCAACACATACCTTTTTATAGCAAGCCCTGGAAACGGAGCAGCGCAAAGAACGTCTTGAAGAGGAGTTCGAATTTCTGCTTTCCGATACTCCTCAGGTGACACCTGGGAAGCCATTACAGGATGTCAGCATATTTCTGCAGGTGAGTTGGAGAAAAAGGAAGCTTGAACACAGAGAGGATCGCATGGGTACCTCGGAAGAGAAGGGGCTATCAGATTTCAGGCGCTTGTCGGCTGTAGAGGGCGACATTTCTGCACTTCAGTTTCGCTTAGTTAGTTCTCTTAGCTTCGAATTTCAATAGGTTTCCCTTGCGATGAGGCCTATGAACTCTTGTGAAGTTTCGGAATAAACTTAAAGAGGGGAAGCAAGGTATGTGATGGTCAAAGGTACAGTCCACACTGATTGCATAGGCAGATCCAGGGAAGAGAGAGAGAAAGGAGTGAGAGCAGGTAAGAGAGAGAGAGAAAGAAGAGGTAAGACAGTATGCTGACTCTGCTTATTCGGACCAAAACTGGGATGTCGAAACTTACTAGCGAGATACTGTGCGTAACGGTCGTTCAGCTTATACACATAGGTTTACGGTAACAGTTCTGTAATTTTGCATAAGGTTAGTGTTTTGAGAGTTTGTGTTCGCGAGCGTCGTCTAAGGCGGAACGCTAGAGTGTGCCACCCTGTCTTCCGCATGATGAGATGCTTTTTCCACCCTTTGTTCACCCTCCAGGGCTTTTTTCTTCACCATATATGAAAGATAGTTCCGAAGGAATGTATGATGGACGTGGCCCCGTGTGGGCGCTCAAGTCAGACGCAAACTGCGCTTTGTGTGGGTGTTGATAGCATGTCAGAAGGTGGTTATTGGAAGACCTCGCCTATTTGGTCATGTAATGTGCCCTTTTGGGTGCAGGTTCACTAAATGTGCTTTAGAGACGAACATAGCTCAGACTTCCAAATACTGGAATAGCTGCAAATTAAAATGTTTGGAGTTAATTTTTTACTGTGCGACCTACTCCTTCTTGTTCATGCTCCTATCCACGATCCACTATAGATTCGGTCTAAAAAACCATCTTTTAAGGGTTACCCAGCCTACGATGCATTACCGCCGAGTCAAGCCGCAATGGTGTATGATCGTTTTCAAGTGAGTGATTAGAGATGCATATATCGCTTATAGTTGATCGTGTTGAACTGATTTGCTGTGGTGCTAAATTAGTGTTGAGCTGAACATTGCCCATTGCAGCACGATTTGCTGAAGCGTGCCGAGATAGAATTTCGTGAATGCCTTCTGGAAAACATCGAACTGTTTGTGACGGGGGCGTTCGCATCCTACCGTGTGCGATTCGATAGTGAGCTGTTTCCGATATCAGAGCGGGAAATGCTGCGGATCAAGGAGTTTCTTCAAGACGATTTCAGGTACTTTTATTTTTCATTTCAAACTAAGCCTCTTCATTTCAACCTGTTTGTGAACAACATTAAATGGAATGCCCAGCGAAGGACCCTAATCCAAATGCATAGACTGTTTGGAGGGTAGTGCGGTCCGCAGGTGAACACATATGTGCCAGTTATACGGCCGAAAGTTCCCGCGACAACTGCCTTCAAAGCCGTTCCAGCCAAGCGATGGACCAGACAAATAGCATTGAAAATGGCGATGCCTACATTGATCGGGTCCAGATCATAAACCAATTAGTTCAGCAAACGCGGAGTCGTCCCAATAAGCGCGTTTTTTTCTTGGCACCTCAGCCATGCCATATTATTCAGAACCTGAATGCGGTCCTAGTTAAGTGCTTTCCGAGGCCCCTTCGGCAATATTCTCGCTTCACGGGGAAAAACGGAGTTTCCACTTCGGCGAAATTCCCATTCTCATTTCACGCAAGCGCTCACGCTCCGGACAGCGCCTTTCAGCTCTCAAATAGTAGGAAGCAACATTGTCGGGGGGGCGGCAGGGACTGTGCTTGGAAACTCACTTTCTCGGAAATTTCATAACACTTCGTTGAAACAGCGATAGAATCCTTGGTGGAGCCATCATCAATACCACCCCAGAGGTGCTGACTCACTTGAATCATCTGCACCTTCATGGTTGGATGTCATGACCTTAGATGAAACAGCCTTGAATACCGTCCGCGCTATTTGTATCGGCGATATCACGCCTAGCCTGTTGTATTGGTCTCCTTCCTTACCGTCCTGACAATGGTTTCTGGAAAAGCGGGGGTAAGTGTAGAGAAAGCCACAATTTGCGCGGAACGTGTTTGCGCCACGCGCATGTTATGAGCGTAGATTGTGACCTAAGCAAAGACTTACCACTCCTCCCATAGCACGTAATAGCGTTAGGAAAAGGTTTTTCGCAACGCCGCCCTCCCACACCCAGCATCCCCTAACAGTTACTGACCCTGAAGACTGCAAGCGTCCTATCTATATACTTCCATGTGTGATTGAGTTAAGGCGGACGGTTACGAGTAGACCCTTCCTGGGGCGAAGCTGTCGAAGTGTATGTCCTGCGAAGAAGGGGCAAACTTATTGGCAAAATAACCTCTCGACTCGACCTGGCTGGTACGCGCTCCCATCCCTTCCCATATACGACCCCTCTCCCAGCGATGCCACATGCGCTCCCCCTCCAGCGCTAGAACGGGCTCTGTATCCTCTCCAATATACCTTCCTCTGTATGTTTTCTCTCTATCTGTGATTAGAGACTAGCTTAGTCTCTAATAGCTAGCAGTGAGAAAAAATCACCCACAGCGAAGCACTTCCTCCCCTCCAGCCATAAAATTACGACCTCCCCGTCAAAAAAGCCATTTGGCTTATCAGATTTTGGGAATTAAAGAGCTAAAAATAAAACTGTGGTTTTTTTACTTGATCTATATGTTATCGTTTTTTGTAGATATCGGCAACTGTCGCGATTATTCGAGCACCGAGACTCGCTCGTACGCAACTTCATCACATTCCTCGCTCGGCCGAAAGTGAATGAATGTCCATCCATGAACAGTTGCGCTCAGCTGGTCATCCATGACGCCATCGCTATCTTTTTTCAGAAGTGAGTACAGATTCACCTGATTGTTTCTATGCTTTTGCTCCACTTTTCCAACTTCTTTATTTCTGATAAGTTTATTGTATTATTTCTCTGGATGGTATATTCAGTATTTTATTAAGCTATTATCTCCTTTTACTTCTGCTTGTACAGTTAGTTTTGTAACTTCCAGGAAGGAAAGCTTTGGCGTCTTACTGGCTGCCTTAAAAACCGAGCTCCAAAACCCAATTACTCATAGTCAGGTGGATATTTTTTTTTGTTTGTTAATCCAAGACCCCATCCAGCTTGTCCGGGGAACAACTATTCGTTCCGTTAACCTTGGAATGAGTCTATAATAATATACCGGGTCCCAATATTCGTTCTCGTGGATCTTAGTAGTACAAGAGTGCTCTAGGTTCGGCGATGATACCGTACACCTTCGGAATGCGCGAAGGCGTGTCGTTCGAGTTCCGCTGAGGTCGAGATTTTCTCTCGGAACGCTCAGTATTTCTTTGAAAGCTTTCTTTTTCTGCTTCTATATTGTCACACGTGAGGCTTTCGTTCTCTCAGTACTTTTATCTTATGTTAGTATGAGTTTTCTCTAGTATCTTAGATGTTATATCTAGCTTCTTGTTACTACTCATAGTTAATGAGTTACGGTGATGCAGGTGTTCTAGCTATTTCTATCTTCTACCTGTAATCTATTTATTTAGTGAAGTTTGAATTGCAGTTTCATATCTCTCGCGCCTAAGTATGTCTGTCTTTTCTCTTTAATATAATTATCAATCTTCAGTCGTTGTATATATTAGCCTCTCTCGCCCGGATAGGTCTTTTCTATTTGTTTTTTTTATTTTTAGTTTTTAGTCTTGTTACGTAAATTCCCTAATGTTAATTGTTTATTGTGAATAACATTTGTCTTTCTTTGCTGCCAAGCGCACCGGGCACCCACAGCATATCTAAGCCAAGCTTCGTCGGCGGTGCAATCAGATTTCTCTTCAGGATCATATAAACTTTATCAAAGTTATTCAGGAAGAAGCAATGTAACGTGTCTATCAACCACGTGGTCGACATTTCCGTGCATGGCGAGATGGCAATGGTAGCGCAGTTCATAACGGATATGAATGTGAGTGCATTTTCTGCTTGTTTGAAAGCGTGCCAGATGGAAAAAGTCCTTTGGATTACTTCAGGTATTGCTGAGAAACGAACCGTTTCCTACCGGAAATGGTCCAGCTACCATTCGCTGTTATGGTGCCGAGGAGGTGGATGATGACAAGGCCTATGATAGAACTCAGTTGTTCTTGTTAGGTAATCTCTTTGCATGAAGTAACTGCATCAGTCCGTTTGTCGTGCAGAAGTTTGATTTGCTTGGAATATCAAAGAGTCCTCATCAAGCCAATCGAATGGGTTGCGGGGAAAGCTGATGCTCAAACGCAGGTTTTCGCTTCCAAGACGTACTCACCCCTAAACTGCCCACCCGGGTAATATCAGGCCTACAAATGGGGAAGTATGACTGTGCCTCTAGCCTGGCACTGCTCTCACCTTCCCAATCCCAAGAAAGGACAAAACACTCGTAGTCCAATATCCCTTTCACATGCGCTTCACATTACGGCTTCATTCGAGATCCTGGTAACTTTACCCTATGCATCAACCTGCATAGGTCCGCCGATGAATAAACCAGTTTCCTTTTTCCCACTTTCTAGGTGAACCTGCTACCAGTGAATCCAACTCGGAGTGATGAAATATTAGGGTGTCTCAAAAGTTCGTGACGGCCGCTGAGGGATTAGTTCAGATAGCAGTCAGAGAGAGCTGAGTCAGGGCTATACGAAGACTGTGGTGGAATTCCCCAGCTAAGCTTCAAGATCTCGAGCAGTGTCATTTTCGAAATGTGTGACCCTGAGCTGTGGTGGAGTAGGCAAAGGTTGCTGGGTTGTGGAACCAAATGGTGGGGATTTTCATCCTCGCTGGTTACCACAGCATTGAGAGGAAGAAATTCCTTGCGGGTAACCCCACGCACAGTATCACCTTCCTACTGCACTGATGGGATTGCATGACCGGTTCTGCCTTCCTGGAGGATCTAGCCACTGGCGCTTCCGGGAGTGGTTCACCCAAATACACCTACTCCTTATCCAGTCACAGTCGTCGTTGAACCAGTTTGTGGGAGCGGGAGCGGGGGAGAAGTTGTAGACAGTGCACACATTCCCCTTGATTATCGGTCAACCCATGAGAAAACTTTTGACCGAACTTCAATACTTTCTTGAGGGAGTGAGGACCTCTGTCATTTGTGCTTTTGGAACAGTCAAGTGTAAAGACTAGATTAGCGAGTGATATACGAATGGTTTTAAATCAATGGGACGCGTGAGTTCGAAATCACAAGACAAACGCCTCGCGGACGAGGTTGCCCCTAGATAGAAGTTGCTCAAAGAGAAAGCATCGGGCCATCTAAACGCTGTACTATGAAGGTCAGCCATAAGGCCTAACCAAGGCAGACGCAACGGTGGCTTCAATCACGGTGTATGACATGGTGAGATCATATAAGCGAACTGTGAAGAAAGATGAATTTGCTTTACCGTTTTTAGGATATGCAACAGCGTACGTGTTCGAAGGAAGGGAGGGAGGGCGGAGGGCATAAATAGCTATGGTTGCTTATGTACCGTCTACCTATGCATAGACCTACGTTGCGAATTCTTGATACAGCGCGCAACATCTCATACGCAAGATCAAAAGAAATTAACGATCTTTGCGACAAGCCCTTGATGCTTGTCTAACCTGCTCGAGCAGACAGGACCTGACGGGCCTGCGCGGCGATAGCAGGTCACTACCATTCGACCCATTCTCTTCGCAGCTGCTAGACACAAGGAAGTAAATTGACTTTTGCAGCAAGTGATTCTTACTTACCATCGCAAAACTAACATTTCCCCAATTCTATACCTGCCTTCTCCTCTTTATACCTGCTGCTTCCATAGATCTACCAATAAATGTAGCTTTTCAGACTTTGCTCGCGCCTATTTCATTGGAATTATGCAACGCAGTCCACAAAACAAGGCTCGTTCTTGGAGTCCTAGTACGGGTACACATAGGCTCCAACTGCATAACCTCTGCGCCATAACGTGTTGTTTGCCCCGCTCATTATATCTCTCCAATCTGCCATCAAACAGGTTTGGTTTCGGAATTTCATAGTATTGGGTGAATTTACAAAGTTGTTCATTCACAGGGAGTGAATCTTGCTGAAAACACGTGCGGTATCTTCATCGGAGCCGGCTCGGCAGATTCTGAAGGGTGGCTGGAGCCGCGGCAGCGACTGCAGCAGTATATTTGGGTGAGTAGCTTCTACTTATAACTGAGACCCCCTACTGAATCATCAAGTTTTAGACGAGATCAACTTTTGCGGATTTGCGATACGGTATGCGCATCACAGCTTGACAGAAGGGGCGCTCTGAAGATACAGGTATCACGATTACGGTGGAGGGCATGTCAGTGGGGTAAAGGTGATTGAATTACTTCTGAAAAGGAATTTGCCTCTAATTTAGCTCTCAGTTCTTTGTGGTGATCCGCTTTCTCTTGACACACTATTGATAGCGGTGCTTGGTGTAGAAAGTGAATCGCTTCGAGCTGTTCGTGATCCGAATCAGATTGGAGGTACGGTAACCGACTCTAGTCCTCCAGCGTTCAATCACTCGATTTTATTGGTTATTTATATGTTTACTTTCAGCTGGTATTATTCCGATAGATGTGCACTGGAATTCACAACGATTCGCTGTCGATCTGCATCTTGGAGCTTATCATTCTTGGCTTACGGCCAGAACGGCCAGCTCTACCCATGGTCATATCGTGGTTTATTCTGCAAGGTTAGTGCTAGGGCAACTTGAGCCTGTTTAGGACTTTACGGCATTGATCAAGGCCGTTGAGGCGCACCGCACCGGCTTCCTTTCAGGGGAACAGGGGCGTAGCGCTTTAGATCACGAATTCGGACTGCGCAATGCATCTAGGTCGGGCTATTGGTTTTCATGCCGTACTCCTCAGCAGTTGAGCAGTAATTGGTGTAGTAATTGAAGGCACAGCCCATGCTAGTCAAATAGGCGGCGAGAATTTATCATTGTGCGCTTCTCACTGGTTCGATGATCAATGAGTTCTTTGAAGGAGGTAAATGGGAAAAGCTCACCAATCGGGGAAGCGCTGTTGTTGACTGTCTCCGCCATCGCCACCAGCGTGGAGGGTGCCTGTGATAGAATCCATGAGTAGAGGATGTCTTAGTGACTTGGTTGAAATCCTGCCAACGACCTGAAAATTTGATGGCGTGTCAGATTTCATTGGTCAAACTTATGCAT